GTTATGTATAACTCCGTGTTGTGAGTAGCTCTGTATTGACAAGCTTTCAAATCATCTCCTTCTATTGTCATCTTAAATTTTTGTTGTTACTGGATCCAAACTATGATTGCTTTGTTAAAAACACGTGCCCCATGTGCTGCCACTCCTGCTATATCCCACTTGAAAAAAATTCATCTTTATAACAAAAACAGAATACTATTTTCTGAATTTGCTTTTTATCTGCTACATGTGCATGCTGTCACATGTTGTTTGCTGAAATCAAAGCAATAGCATAGGAAAAGCCTTCTGTTGAATCTGTCCTGGCCAGATTCCGGTTTCTGCCACCTGAGGCTCATGCCACAAAGAATCTCTTCTCTGTGAGTGGTCCCTTTGAAATCAAACTTATCCCCCACAGAGCAAGCCTTTTTCTGTATAGAGTAAGTGCAGCAGAGTTTGTAATTTTAGGATGTCATGAGCTGGTTTTCCTGAAATTACTTTTGGAGAACGTGCTGTAGCTATAACCAATGCTGACAGCTTCCCCTTGCCTCTCTGAGTCTTTCCATCTCCTCTCAAGCTTCCTGCAGTGGCAGAGATGTTTGTTAGACTATTGCCGGACTGCAGAATGGGACTCTGGCTTATGGGACTTGTCCCATTTGCTTAAACAGGACTCTATCTGTGTGAGAAATGGTTTGAGGAATTCATTGCCTGATAAACCAGTCTACAAATGCAGAGTGAGTGCGTGTGTGTGTGTGTGCACGCATAAGCGTGTTGAAGGGAGAGGGGGGTTCCCAATGTGGTCAGAAATCAGACTTTTGCCCTTTCTCTGACTCATACCAGTCTATCTTACGCTTTCAAAAGCAAGACTTCTCCATTTTGGAAGAATATGCGACTGATTTCTTCACCCCCACACTTTTTCAAGATAAAACACTCATTGCTACAACACTGCGGTTACTTTCAATGTCATAATGCTGGGTTGAGAGAAAGGCTTACAATCAGATCTGAAGAGCCCTTATCCCTGCCTCACTGCAGAGTGCTGCTTTACAAATGGGCTGGATCCATAAGACATTTCTGAGCCCAGGTCTGAGCCCAACCTCAAGTCCAAACATGTCTTGTGGCAACACAACATGAATGGCAGCCTGCTCTCAAGGACTGGCTTTAGGGAAAAAAATTAGGCCCAAGATACCCCTTGACAAGCACCCAAGGGCACTCACCCTGCAGCGAGGGGGGGCTAACTGCTTCTGTCTCCATCTTAATCCAAGTCATGCGGCCAAAGTCTTTCCGAGAAGGATTCCAGTATCACCGTCACAGCTTGAGGGGTGCCTGCTTGAAAACTTTACAGAACAAGGTGGGAACTCACAACGGGGCCATGGGGTCCTGTGGGGAGCAGCGTGGACATGCAGGGCTGGCTACGGACTCTGTGGTTTACGTCTGCCTCCTGGAATAGGAACTTAATATCTCTACAGCTGTAACTATGTATTCAGAGCAAAGACCAAAGAGAGCGAAAACATTAAGAAATGTTTTATGCATCCCATGGTAAGCTTTCCTCTGCAGAAACAAAAAATAAAGAAGCAACCTCTTGCTATATGCTTTCAAATGCTTGCTAAATGACAAAAATAATGTGGCATTTTGATAAAATCAACCTACACTAAAAATAAACTGGATTGTTGCTGTATTTTATGTACTGCAAACGGTACTCTTCAGCTAACAGGTGAGAGAAAGCTTATGCCAATCTAAGGCATATATACAGCTTTTTGGAAACAAATACCAATTATTTCTCAACTGTTACTTCTTTATTAGGTCAATGCCAAACAGTGCAAAACCACAGCTAGAACTGACTGGAATAGGAAGAAAACAGACCTAACGCTTTTCTACACTGAAAAGCTTTAACAAGATACTACATAAAAAGCCTGTAACATCTTCACACTTTCTTGCATTTCCTTATTCTGTCAGGAATAATTTCCCAAACAGGAAAAAAAACCCAAAACCATGCTGTAAGTGTAGTGTATTTATTTTCATAAACAAATATATATTAATTCAGACTGTAGGACCAGAACAATTTTTTAAAAAAATCAAATAATTCTAATTCTTCTCCTTTGAACACTTGAATCTTCCCACTTACCATAAAGAAAGAAAAAGCTGGGAAAAGACCGTGTTGCAATAGTTGCAGGGTGTGTATGTGTGTGTGTGGCACAGATAAAAGTGGTTGTATTTCTATTATTTATTTCCATTATGACAGAACTCACAAAGTGCTAGGCTCTCCAAACCAATGGCAAGAAACAGTTCCTGCCAAAACAACATGAAAGAAATGTTGTAAAGGTTGCATTGTGTTGCTTAAAAGTGAGGAAATATCAGAAGCTGCGTTGCCAGTACAACCTTAATTCAACCCTTCTGTGCATATTCATTATGATCCAGTCTTTAATTACATGATCACATACTCTTTTTCTTTATTTTCTCTCCCTAGGGCCTCTGCTTCATTTAAAGTATCAGATGGGCTGAATAAGGCAGTTGTTAAATGTTTACATTTATCTTCTTCAGCACCCTCCCGCTAAGGTATCAGTCAGTATCTTGCACTATTGGCCAGGCAAACTGCCTCCTCTGTGTCTGGAGCTGCAGAGGCAGGAGTAGGCAGCTGGGATCTGGCCAGAGGAAGTAAGAATCACTTCATATATCCCAAAATGTACAGGTGCCAGAGAAGTTCAGAGCAAAACAGTAGATCAGTGAAACACATTGGCATACTGGCAGGAAGCTAAGGTACAAACCAGCAACAGGCTAAGGTACAGCCAGTTTCTCTGATGTTCTCCACTGAGGTCCTATCAAGGAAAGCTGACTTTCCCTGATCCCGTGAACTGTATGCCAGAGTCTTCATCATCACTAAGAGCCTGCATACTTTAAAGATGAAGATCTTTAGGAGCATTTCACAGGCAGGAAATGGCAGCAGCTCCTTCGCTATCCCACCATAGCACTGAGATGGAGGCGGACGTGCCTAGACTGGGAAAACAAGATGGTTCTCTACACCAGCAGCTCCTGTTACCTTGTTCCCTCCCACAGCTAGGGATGAGGTCCTGCTGGCAGGCATCTCAAAGAGCCTTGGCCTCGAAGTTACACTTGAACTGCTTGCTGGCTGCACAGTAAGAACACTGAGGTAGTTCGTTCCTCACTAGTAGACTGGATCTGCATGCACAGCCATTTACCCTTTCCGTAGACAAGACCCTCTTTATACATGCTGTAACTGTTTGGAAGCAATAGGAACTATCAAAACTTCTTGATTGCTAATGCACTCTGAATTTGTTGACTTTGCAGGAGATTTGAGGGAAATCCTTTGATGGTCTAGCAAGCTTTTTTAAAAAAAAAATTTAAAAAAACTTTTAAATTTCTTCCCCTCTTGCAGTGCGGCATGAGGTGCATGCTGCCACATTATGTTCTTAAAAGTACAATTCAAGGGGATGATTCAAAGCTCAACTGAACAGCCTTGCTGTCCATAACAGTTACTGCTGTAGCAAGCTGAGGAGAGCTTTTTAAATATCATGCTTTGGGGTGCTACTACATAAGACCACTTATCTACTTGGGAGTTCCTTAAACTCCTTCTGAGCATTTGATTCTGGCTGGAACTAAGTAGGAGAGATGAGAAACTGGCCCAGATAAAGCTCAGGTCCAAGCAAAGGTGGCAAACATTATACTCTCTTTCGCTGAAGTATTTCCAGTAGTATTTACACAATTTTGGTGTAACTGAGATTCTCTAACGTCAATTTTGCACAAGTGATATTTTCCAGTAGGATGATGGACCTTGTTGTGAAGGGGGAGAGAAGCACCTGCTGCTCTGAGGTTTGAAAGAGAACAGCAAATTCCAACCTATGAACAGAGCAGAAACGGCAGCTCTGACTATACCTCACATATGCTGCGGAAGCACTGAGAAGAAAGGACGGCTGGCACCTATGGAGTGGCAAGAGAAGGGGGCCAGGTAGGTAGCTCCTCCCTTCTCGCAGGACAGAGGGACAGCTGATGATCACTAATGTAATATTCAGAGGTTAGTGGGGGGAAAGTAGATGAGACTGTGCTCTAAAACCCACACCAACATTTTTAGTATGCAGTAAAGCTGTGAGTTTAAGCTCTCTGGATTATCTTTTGAAGGTGTTTTGCAGATCTCCCTCGTGTATAGAGAGTCAATGAGAGAGTCCCCTGAGGCTGAGAGTCTAAGGTAGAATAGATGCTGTGTGCAGAGAAAAGACCAAAAGCACTATTCAGGTACATCTCTAACATCAGACAAGCAAAAACAGTGTACTTTCATCTTTTATTCAAATTATTTCATATGTGTATTTTTATGTATTTCATTACTGAATTATTTTTACTGAAAAAGAAATCTTAGGATTTAACTGTGTGTTATTATTGTGCCTTTAATGGCCTGATTTCTGGTCTTTGACTGGAAGAACTGTACACGTAAATATCAGGTTGTATTTCATTTGCAGCTTTGCATAGGGGCAGGGCACATACCCTAGGGGAAGAATGAGTTTTCTATCAAAGAGGCTACACGTTGTGTTTTTAACAACAAAAAAAAAAAAAAAAGGAAAAAAAAAAAGGGCTTCTGCTGCTTCTTTCATCTCCCCTTTGGTTTTGCAAAAAGGCAGACACATGGCATCTGGAGGCTTGAGGCTTTACACTATTCCTGGCCATCACTAGCTGAATAATATACATCAGTCCTCCTGTCCACCCAGGGTTTTTCCCCTTTCAAAGCAAGTGATAGAAAAGCTGGGATAATTGTACAGTCCCAAGGGAAAATATGCCGTTGAGCAGTGTGCGTGAGGCGTGTGGAAGACTAGAAGTTGTATTTCTGGGGTGTCCTCAACGAACCAGGGCTGAGGTTTGGCCAGTGGCCCGTGAGAAGACACTTCCCCTGCTGACGAGCGTGCCCTTCGCTCTGCTTGCGCCCGTGGGCTTGGTGGCCCACCAGCTGCCCAGAGCCAGGGCTTTTGCTCTGCGTGGAGGACCCTGCCCGGAGACCCCGATGTGAACGTGGCCTTAAGGCCATGGTAAACAAATGCGAGGACAAAGCCATGCTCGGGACCCCCGGGGTGCGGGGTACAGGAGCGGTCCCGCTGGGGCACTCCCGGGGCTCCGAGAGAAGGCAAAAGGGGAAAAGCCAGATCGCCTCCGGTGGCTACGGGAATAAACAAATACTGATCTCTGAGCACCCCTGCTGCAGCTGGCTTTACGTGGGGAGACGTGTACGAGCACGCCCCCGCGCACAAACCAGCCACCGGCTGCTGAGCCGACGCGGGGCACGGCGCACCGAGAGAGCGCAGAGAGCAGTC